ACCTCAAAATATGGTAAGAGTAAATGATGGGCTGGGAGAGGTATGGCTCAAGTGGTAGCCTTGGGTTCAATCCATAGTATTGCTAAACAAAAAAACCCCAAAAAACAAAATGGAAAAAAAAAGAGTATAATTGTACCATGTATATTATAGGAAAGAGTTAATATCCCATTGGTGATCTCATCCAGTCCTATGGCTTTAAATATCATGTAAATGTTATTTAAATTTGTATTTTAGCATAGACTTCTCTCCTGAACTTCAGTTTCTTAACTGCCTACATGATGACTCCACTTGGTTGTATTGTAGAAAAAATTAACACTCCTTAAACTGAACTTCTAATTTTTTTCTACCTCTACTCTGTAAACCTGTACCACTTAAAATGTTCCCATCTCTTTTAAAGTAATTCCATTCTTTCACATGGCAAGCTCAAAAATCTTAAGAGATATCCTAGATCTTTCTTTCTCTCATATTTTAAGTCCAATTAAAAAAATATATTAGAATCTGACTACTTCTTGCTAACTCCACTGCTAGAAGGAAGCCTTGTTTGAGCCAGCCCCATCTTTACTTGGGTTACTTTAATAGTTCCCTAATGTTTCAACCCTTCTCAACTGCAATATATTCTCAACATAGAAGTCAGATGATCTTTCTAAATCGTGGTTGAGCTATACAATGTCTCTGCTCAGAACATGTCATAGCGCCCTGTAAAACACTAATTTAACTAGAATAGCCTTCAAGGCTCTATGTGATCTGCTGTCCTTCTCTTTATCTCTGAGATCTCATCTTTCCTTTTTTAACAGTTGCATGTCTCCCTTGCCATTCTTTGAATATGTGAAATTCCTGTGTTAAGAGATTTTGCACTGCTTATTTCCTCTACATGAAAAAGATTTTTTTCCCAGATATCCATTTGGTTAAATCAGTGAATTCCTTCAAGTTTTATCAGTGAGATGTACCCTGACCATGCTATTTAAAAATAGCAAACTTTCCTCCTATCTCTCACTCCTAAACTCCCTTGACTTCTTTTTCACATAGAATGTGCTGCCTTCTAAGATTCTGTTTGATTTACTTACAAGATTTGTTGTCTTGTCCATGAAGGTACAAGAATTTGCAATATATTCCTTGGCATCGGGTAAGCACCTGGCACATGGTATAAGGTCAGTATTGTTGAGTGAATGAGTAACTATTCTTATACTTAAGCTTTTGTAAATAAGCAACAATTTTCCCAATAGACAACTATACTGGAAAAATGTTGAAATAATGGCTAGGCAATTCACAGAAAAGAGACTCTTTAAGTGAAAAAATTCACATATGCTAGTAAATAGGGTACAAAGAATAGTATTAATAGCTGTTAAATTGTTAAAGAATTAAGAAATAAATAGCAAAAACAACAACAAAATACACACAAAAAAAACCATACACAAAGAAGAACCCCAGACTGAAAAAGATTTAGTAGATACACTAGTCAATTATAAAAAGTATGGACTTGCCTATAAGGATTAAAGGAGCTCATTCTTTAATACTGCTGGTGGGACTTAAAATTGGTATAATTATATAGGGGAGTGTAGTTAGTTGTCAATATTTATTATAAAATGAAATATGTACATGTATCTTGAGCCAGAAATTCAACTTCTAGAAAATGGTCAGACATAAACACCAGAGTACACACATTTGTTCCCTGCAATATTATTTGCAATAATAAAAATTTATCAAACAACCTAAATGCCCAATGATAGAGACTAAATTAATTATGGTTAATCTCATCAGACTTCTAAAAGCACTGTGTGTGTGTGTGTGTGCGCGTGCGCACACACGCACGAGCACTTTAAATCAAAATAATGCAGTTGATTTCAAAGCTCTTAAGGAACCTGAAAAAATTCAAATCACATAGCATTTAGTATTTTTGAAATTTAACAACAAAACCACTTGATACTGTCTGTTTATGAGTGTATGTGTATATGTGTGTGTATATATATACATATACATATATATATATATATGGTAAACATCAGTGACACATGCATAAGTTTAAGACACATTTGATTCAAATTTTGCTTAACTTAAATCTTGTAAATTTTACCTTTAAAATTTGCCAAGACTAAAATTTATAGTATAAGTTTAGCAACAGGTATTATCTGGTTACTGTTTCATGTTCTTAGAAATGTAAACAAAGTATACCATTTGTGCTTTCTTCTATGACCTTCCATAGTCTATGACCAAGAACACTGTGTTTGTAAGTGGCCTTATGTACCTTCTGTTATTCTTCTCTGTTCATAAGCTACAGCACACATAATTCATGCATGGACAAGACATACTAAGCCAAGAGTTAATCTATGAAATAGTTTGAGTAGTAAAATTAGTAAGCCAAGAACAAAACATGCAAACTAAATCCACCTTCTGATATGTTTCCAAAAGAAAATACGTATTTATAAAATGCAACATAACTTTAAGTCTTTCCTTTTGAAAATATCGTGAAAAAGAATTAGGAGCCAAATAAATGTTTCTTTTATATTGTTGGCAAGTATATTATATGCAGTCATACTGTATGTGAAATATGTTTTTTAAAATAAGGAATAATGACCATCAAATAGCAGGTGGTCAGTATTTCAGTCTTGGTGTTAAAATACTATTTCCGCTCCAACATCTTGAATACATTATAAAGAAAGAACCAGGACTAGGCTCAAAAATATGAGAATCTGAAAATAATCTTGTAAGTTTTGCTTTCCAAAGATATCAATTAGGTCGGGTTTAATGACAATAATGCTTTATTAAAGAAAAAAATATAGATGGAAGGATGGAGGGAGGAAGAGGTAGAAGGCAGGGAGAGAGAGAGAAAAAGAGAGATTTTAAAAAGAATATATCCAACTTCCCTATCACTTTATAATAAAAAAATAGAGAACTTCTACCAGTAAAACAGATGTAGCTAATTTATACCAGTCTCATCTGAAGGTAACTAAAAAACTTGGACAAAATATTAAAAAGTCATCTGTTTGAACGCAATAAATTGTTAACAAAACTGTGAAGAACTACAGGTAAAAGGAGAAAGTTGGAGGTTTAAAATTTCTGAAATTATGGCTAATTTCCCCTTGAAGATATTTGTTGATGCCAGAACAAGTGAGAAGAAAGATCAGGGGCATTGGGAACATTGAAAAGGAAGGGGTGAAAGACACATTCGGGTTGCTAGATTTTCAGATATGATAAATAAAAAAAGCAGCATGAAACCAACAGTGTTATTGTATGCTGAACATCGAGCACAACACATTATAAAAAATAAGGAAACCTCCCAAAAAAACTCCAAACCTAAAAATATTTTAAAAATCACATTAACTCAAACAAGAACATAGAACAGAAGTAATAATCCCACTAGCAGTCTTAGAGTTACAAAGTTTAAAAGAACACGTTATTAGCAGTATTATTATTTTTTGGGGTTTAAGTAAAGATGAACACACAAAGTTTCATAAACACTATGTACAGCAGGTTGTGGTATCCTCTATCCCAAATTTTTGGAATCAGAACTGTTTCAGATATTTTTGGATTTTCAAATATTCACATAGACTTTATTGCCTGAACATCCCTAATCTGAAGATATAAAATGTTCCAAAATCCAAAACTTTTTTCGTATCATGTCAGCTCTCAAAACAATTTCAGGTTTTGAAGCATACTAGATTTCACATATTTGGATTAGGATGCTCATTTTTTATAGGAAAAAATTTGGAGACTGTAAGTACAGGATATATTTAAAAACAAAAAAACCCCAGCCTATCTGTCCTCTAACCCAGTTAGTAAGTCAGTTTTTCAGAATCCATTACGCATGCACAGGTTTATCTGTTAAATGCATGGTTCCAGCTGATGGCACTATTTTGGGAGGTTGTGGAAACTGTAGAAGGTGGGGTCTGTTTGGAGGAAGCAAGTCACTGGGGGTGGACCTTTGCAGGTTATACTCAGAATCCAGTGCCTTCTTCACTCTGTGCTTTCTGTTTAACAGGAAGTGCTCCTGCCACCATGATGTTCTGTTCAAATGCATGAGCCAAACAAACATAGATGGAAACCTTTGAAACTGTAAGTCAAAATAAATCCTGCCTCCCTTTAAATTGTTTTTCTCAGGTAGTTAGTAACAGCAAGGCAAAGTTTGACTAATACATACAGGTATATTCTTGGATTTATTTAACAAGAGGATGTTAAGTAAATCATGGTACATTTATTCTCTGGATTCTCAAACTTTAAAAAGAGTGAGATAATTTTTCATGCAAACATTCTGAAAATGTAACTAATAAAATTATATAAATGAAAAAAGTTGCAGCCCAATATATATGATGTGCTGTACCAATCATGTGAAATCTAACAAAAAGCTAGAATATCTAATAAAATGTGTTTGCATCTCACACACATAACATACACATAGACAAACACAGACAGAGCATGTGCAAAGGTAACCAAACTGCTAACATTAAATATCCTACAGGGAGGACCTAAGATTGAGGTTCTGAGGAGAGTCAAAAACAGTATTTTACTTTATGTTATACACTATCTGAATTTTTTAAACTAAGATTATATATTAATTTGTAATTAACATGTTATATGCACACTTTTCAGAGAAAATGAGAGCTAGCAAGGGACTTGCCAATAGAAAAATAGTACTTCTACATGTTAGTTGATCAAGAATGGATTATCATATATTATTGAATATAATATTACTAGTTATAAGCTTCAGTCTTTAATAGAGATTAAAATTTAAAGAAGGATGGGAAGTAAAATTGTTGCACCCAAAAAAATGGGTATAGCCAGATTTACTTGGAACATCAATGGACATTTCCTCTTAAATCCTGGGGAAATACTTGTTAATTAAAAAGACTTTGAAGCTAATTTCCTTGTTAATTCTTACCAAATAGCCAAGTCTTCAAAAAAAAAAATACCAAAAACAAAACAAACCAACCAACCAACCAAAAAACCCCTATTCTATAGCAGTATAAAGAATCTCTTTAGAAATAATGTTACTATTTACTTAAAACAAAAGCTGTACTTACAACTAATAGACTGAATTGGTCCAAGTTGTGGAAAGGTCATCAGAACTGAAATCCCTGGTATATCATTTTGGTTTGGCTGTTCAATACTTTGGTCAGCCCAAACCACCACTTTTTTTCTCTCTACCAAGTGTTCAATTTCTTTGAAATCAGACTCAAAAGCAGTATTCGACAGGCCAGCTTCTTTTAATGTGCAATTCTGTTTTCGTAGGACTGGAAGTAAAGTATTCAATACTCTATGAACAGAAGATGACAAGAAAGGAGAGATAAGTACTAAGTATGAAATATATTATTATAGTTCTTTTGCATAATACCCATAATATTATTATATCACTAATATCATTTCCTGTGTATTTCTTCTATTAGAATGTTATTTCAATCAAATATCTCAACACATGCTTAATCCATAAAGTACAGGGGGGAAAAAAGCTTGGTTGGGAACCATGAGACTAGACTATTCTTAGATAGTATACATATGCTTCTATATAACTTTGGAGAAGTCATAAACTAAAGTTTCTCTCCTATAAAGTAGGAGACAACTAAGGAGCCACTATACATAATAAAGACATTGTTCTGAGGACTAAATGAGTTAAATACATATAAAAGTTTTTTGTAAAACATAACTGGATTAACAAACCATAGATATTGCTATTGTTGTTACTAAACATGGGATTGAAATAAATCATTAACATACTATGTAAGACGATGTGGCTTTTAAATGGGATTGAAAGTGGTTTAAAGAAGAGTTCTGGGTAAGGATATTAGGTATGAGGAATATATAAGATATTTAAGGCACTGGGTCTTGGCTCTGACTCAAAATCTCCCATATCATCAACAATCAACAGCAGCACTAAAGGCATCTTTTTATGTATTAGACCTGCATGTAAGCATTCATGGAATAAATGAAGTAGCAAAACAGTTGTAAATTTATATACTCAATCCATAGTTCCTAAGTTTTATATCAGGAAAGAAGTCAAACAATGTAAATAATCTTCAAATGATTCAGTGATTACCTAGGAGTCTATTTAGATTAGCAGTACCAACAATCTGTTGCTTTTTAGTTCTTGGTTGGAGTGGGTGGGAAGTACTCCATATGAGTCAAGTAGGTCACAAGTACAGTTGGCCCTCCATATCTATAGGTTTTATATCCATGGATTTAGCCCATGGTGGATTGAAGATATTAAAAACAAACCCAAACCCCTCAAACTCCATAAAGTTCCAAAAATCAAAACCTGAATTTGCATATGACAAGCACTATACCAAATTCACACAAGTGAAGGGATGTGTAATGTATATACTCTGCTGCAGCCTCCCACCATTTCAGAGACCTTTAGTCTCTTTCTGCCATTCCTTATTTGAGCATCATTTACCTCATGTCTTCTTCATGGACTATGCAGTTAGATCTATAACAATTGCCATCTATACTGAAAATGGACAGACAAATGCTTTTCCTTGTCATTATTCTCAATACAATATAGCACAATAAGTACATAGAATAAGAAAGGAAGTGAACAATGCTCAAACAATGAGTGCCAAGAAGAGACTGAGGATCTGTAGAATGGTGAGTGGCAACAGCATGGCATACCTATATATCCTTATAGTTCTCGCCAATAGTACTGTGAAAAGTTAACATAGTGGCCTGAAACTACTAAGACATACTTGCTTTCCATTTTAAGAATGTCACTGTCATTTTCAGAACTGGTATGACAAGAATGGCTCACTGTATTCAAACTAGTTACAAATCAATGTGCATGTGCTGAATGTACCTGCTTTCCCTTTGAAAAGTCTGGAATTTTAGTATGCTAGGCAGAGAGTGCCTATAAGGTATGTTCCCAATAAAATCGCAATGCATTGAGTCTTTGAAGAACTCCCATGTATTGACACAATGTTTTGCTAAAATGAAGCCCACCCTATGTCTCCACTGGAACAAAATTCTTAAATTTTGTACTTGATCAGTTCCCTCCAGACTGTCAGATGCACATTTTCCCTTTTCTGTTTTTACTTTGTATCCTCTCATTAAAATATTATTACTTATCAACTATATGAGGTGTCTTTTTTTTTTTTTAACTTATCTCAGGGCCCATTTTAATCAGAGTAAGACAGTTGATATCAGAAGTGGTCCTTTAAAGTAGACCCTCAAATTGGATTTCTGGAATTGGAACACTTGTAGAACATATAAAAACAAGAACATATATGAGGTGTCTTATAAGTCCTAGTAAATCACTGAATCTAAAAGTAGTCTTAGGGACTCCTGCACAGGTACTACATTATGTTGGTATTACACTCTATTTTTATATATAAGAAAACCAAGGCTTAGCAAAGTTACATAATTTTATCAAGGTTATATTGTCAAAAGAAAAAAGATTTCAAGACTGATTGTAAAACTCATGCTTTTTCTATGCCACACTGCCTCTGTGATGTTCCCTCACCAATTTATTAAATCAGTGCATGAGGCAGAATCTTCCTATTTACAAAGCAAAGCTTATCTTAACTATATTAATCTATATGTCCAATACAGCAAATACAGCATGGCTAAACGAATGTTTCTTTGAATACTTTAGCTCTTGCATGTGGTTTGAGTTTGCAAATGACTAATGTTTATTCTATTAGAGACAGAAAGTACTGGGAGATTAGTTTGAGCTTCCCTGCACAGAAGGATACTCTCTGAAGTTTTTATTTTCTTTTTCTTCTTGTTATAAATAGCTTTTTTTTTGGTGGCACTGGGCCTGTGCTTCCTAGGTAGTAGCTTTTGATAAATTCACAGTACAGAAAATTAGTTACCAGAGATTTGAGAACACTAGTACAATGCAAGCAGATTTTAAGAGTGGCAGAAAGCCCTTAGAAAAATGAATTTCTCATTTTTATTGATCATGGAAGTGATGCCTAAGAAGTTAACTGATTTATCCAAGGTGACAAAAAAAGATTAAGTCATACTTTTTTTTTTTTTACTATCATGTTTTAAAAATTAAATGACTAACATGTTACTACTGAGCTAGTAGAGACAGCATAAAAGATCATTACATAAGAATCAGGATACCTGATGTTTAGTAACTTTATTCTAATAAAAGCAAAAAATCATTCTGGAATTATAAATAATTAACAATTATGCACTTAAAAATTCAGTTGGTGTTAATAGCAACAGCTTTACTAGACAAGTACTTTTGGAATTTTTATTGTGTTACATGTATTAAGCAAAACCAGTAAGTTTTTAAAGAAAGGTGGTTTACAAACGTATAAAGTGCTGTAACAAATTAGTTGCAGGGAAAGAACCACATCCTTTATATTCTCTCAGTGTTCTCTTACTGCCACGTTTTCTGTTGCTGGCAGACAATGAATGTACCCATACCAGATAAAACTCAATTTCCTGGACTTCTATTCCTTGGGCACATTAGATATAGCCTTTTACAAATTTTAGAATACATTAATACGTGTACTTACGCCTCAGTCTGCTTGTACTGCTGTTCTTGAAGACAAGCTAGGTCCATCATATATCTAATCTGTGCTCTTAAATCTTTATTCTGGAGTTGTAGATGGTGACAGTGAAGATCTTTATTGAGTTCCTAAGGAAAATCATGCAAAATATGTCTTAGATTCTTTTTTAAGATATTAAGATAATATTTAAATACATTTAATAAAACTTGTTTTATACCAATATCAATAGCTTTCTTTTTTAGATATGAAATGTTTAGATAGCATTTGGAAAATGAAAGTTTTGTGTATAGTTTATAACTTACTAGTAAGATAAGGTTTCAAATTTTCTCAGAAACAACTGAATTTAGGAATTCAGAAGAAATTTTATTATGACAATAGCTTCTTAGTCTGTCTAAATTGTTTGTAATATTGTGAAAATACATTAATACGGTCAATTTTTGCTTAAATGTCACTTCCTGAAGGAGGCTTTTCCTGAGCATTATTTTCAAAGATTGATAGCCTCTATCCCTCAATACTGTCACTTTATTGGTTAGTAACGATTTCATCTATTAATAGTGTCTGTCTATACTAGAATGTAAGGTTTACCTTGGAAGGAACTATGGTCAAATTAGGTCAGTGGCAAAGCCATAGTGTACAGTGCTTGGAGTTGCTTGTTATACAATTCTCCCTCCTTCCCCTGCCCCCAAAAAAGCATGAAGTCTTTTGTACAAGTCCCATTTTCCTTTTTGGTGGTACTGGGAGTTGAATTTAATGTCTCCTACTTAATAGGAAGATGCTTTACCATTTGAGCCACTCTTCAGCCCTTTTTGGGTTGGTTATTTTTGAGATAGGGTCTCTTTTATGTCTGGGATGTGCTTAGCTGCGATTTTCCTACTCATGCTTCCCCACTTAGCTTGGATTGACAGGTGTGCTCCACTGTACCCAGCCACTGGTGGAGATGGGGCCTTACAAACTTTTTGCCAGGGCTGGCCTTGATACATAATCCTCCTGATCTCTGCCTGCCAAGTAAGTAGGATTATAGGCCAGAGTCACCATGCCTAGTGAAGAAGTCTTCATCTGCATAGGTTCAGGTGTCCTTTAATCTGTCAGCTAATGGTACTCATCTTTCCTGAAGCCTACTAAACTTTAAGTACAGGAAATATCAGCTCAGAGGTCCAAGAGCATTTTCAGCATCTCTACTCAGGAAAATATCAGGTAGTATAATGAGAAAGTGATTTTATTTATTTATTGTTTCGGGGTTATTTTGATAAGCCAAGCCTGTAATCCCATGAGCAAGAAAGCCATGCCTGGAAACCTCCTTCTAGAAAATACTGTGCTAATCTGTTTTAACTTTTCATTACTCCTTTCTAATTCACAGTTGAATACTGATTCTGTAACAGTTCTTGTTTTTCTTTTCATCTTTGTACTTCAAGAATATAGCATATATTTTAGGAAAAAAACCCCAAAACTCTTTATGGACCCAAGATGGTAAGCTTAGAGCACTGGCCTATGAGTCATTTGATTTTTAGGGACAGGCTTAACCTTGAAACAAACTGTCAACTTAAATCAAATATATGGCCTTTATGGAGATCAATTTACTTGACTAAAATTTAAGAGCTGGATCAGATGACCTGTATATTCCTTTCCAGATAGAAACTCATATAACAGTGTAAATGTGTTTGCCAAGAATGTTTTCTATCTCTTTTCCTTAAAAGACATCTTTCCTTCACAAACATCTTTGATAATTTATTTCCTTTATCTTTTTGGATCACTCTTCTTAATCAATAAGAAGTCTTGGGTAGTTTGTCATCTTTGGAAAAATAACCTTACAATTTGAATCTGTTCTTGTCTTAACACACTAATGACTGAGTCTGATTGGAAAAGCATAGCCAATTCTGAGAACTACAAGTGGGTTAGTAATGCCTGAAGTATATAGTATAATGACAGTATAAAACTTGGGAAGTATTAGGATAGAGAGTTTATACTAAGGAGAAGGCACTGAAGAAGGATATGGTCAGGGCTGCCATGGAACATGAGCAGAAGCAGAAAGAATATATGTAGCAGTCCAATAATGCAGGGTAGAAGTCAAAATTAGGGTAGTGGCAGCGAGGATTAGAGAAGTAGTTACAAAGTAGGTAATGCAGGAGGATATTGATAAAATAGCCCCAATTTCAAACTCAGCAGCACTGAGCTGTCCAGAGTTGTAGGACCTTAATAAAGTTATAGTTCAGTTTGTTTATGTAGGAAATACTGGCTTATAACCAGATAATTATTTCAACTGTGACATGACCTATAAAAAAATAGCTGAGGTAGGATTTGAGTGGTGGGAATAGAAACAGTTTTAATTTTATCTTTTTTTAGAGTTAATATGATAAAATACATAAAAAACAGACAAAAATCAAATGTAGGTTCATATTCAGGTATACAAACATTCTGCTTAAGAGAGATCAAGAAGACATATTGTTGGAAAAGATAGATATGACTATATTGAAAAACTTTAACTTTGTAAACACTACTACGTAGACAAAAAAAGCAGAAATTAAAAAATATATATAGTTTTCAAAATTGGAGGCTTATAATAAATATGGGATAGCAAAGACAAAGTAGTAAATTTTTACCATTGACTTCTCTGGTTTTTTTAAGTTCTTAAGTACTTCTGTAGTTGGGGTTGAGCTATAAATTAGGATGTTGATTCCAGGTACAAGCATATTAACTTGTAATATAAGCACAATGTAAATTAAGTTATGCTCTTGGGAAGTGAAAGTAATCGTTTAAAAGCTACAAATACATGCTAAATTTTCTATTAATGTACTTAATGCCATTGAAATGTACACAAAATGGCTAAAATGGCAAATTTTGTTTTATACTACACACAAAAATTTTAAACTTTCATGAAGTTCTTGGCCAATAGATGCACTAAATAATCTATAAGAATATTATAACTGTAAGAAATAATATAAAGAAAACTAAAGAACCTTTGGTAGTTATTTTCAAATAAGGTCAAAATTTAACCAAAATACTTTTAATTTTAATACCTTAAAATGTGTTAATCTTTAGAATAACACTCTCCAAATAATCATATAAAAGGGGAAATAAACCAATAAATACTGTGACCATTCAATATCTGTTAGGTAGCCTAGAAAATCAAATTTTGTATATTGAATGAGAAACACTCATTTAGGCAGAGTTGGAAAACTTTTTATCCAGAACATTGTTTTAGTATACTTACAGGTAATAGGAGTTAGTGAAGTTTGTTACATTCTAAGATGAATCTTAGTTTTAGAAGAATTAGATCTAATATAGAATTACAGAAATCACCTTGCCTAAGCAGACAATCTCCATTACAGATCGTTAATGAAACAGTATCTTTTTTGGCTTACTACTTTTAAGTCATTATAGTCATATTAGGATGAATAAAGTACTTTATTTTCATTATAAGATAGATATTCTTAACACTGTATCAATAAAAGGGCTTTAGGAAACTTAAATGACTAGGCATGCCACCAACAAGATTATTCTAAAGACTCCTGTACCTATGGAGAACCATGTGACAATTCTAGCCAATAGACTTAGGAATGCCTAGAAAAGTCTTTGCTCTTCCTGTATAGACATCTTTCCTTACTGTTCAACCTCTTCTTCTGGTCTAGGTATAAACTTGAGACTAGAGATGACAAAGTAATATTAAAATCATGAACTGACAAGCATAACTGCAATATATTAGATATCCAAAGGCTTACTTTTAAGGGAGTAAAATGTAGCCAAAACTGGCTAAGGCATTAAAATAATACTATTTCTAATATTGTTGCAGAACAGTCATTAATCATCACTATACTTATAAAGTTTTGACATTATAACATGGAATATATTCAAACATACACACACACACACACGCATGCACAAATACACATGGTCCATGTAATTAGCAGTAACCACATTTAAAACTGTTTTTGCACAAAATATCAAGATTTAAAATAAACCTTACCTACATGATAAATCCTCAAGTAGGCTGAAAGAAAATTATTTTAAGAGCTACCACATAAAAGGATGAATTGCTTAAGAATAACAACATTTAAAGCAATTTTCTTGTCTGAAAATAAAGAAGGAAAATCTAGTAGGTAATTAGTGAGCAAAATGGTATATTCAGTTACAAACAGTAAAACTAGTCAATTAAATCTTAGAGAAATAGGGGAATATTTGTTTTATGAAAGGTATTTACACAATAAGAAGAAGTTTAAAGAGCTCAGTTTTACTGAATATGCAAACATATCTGTACCTTTGGAATATGACCATTTTCACCTAAGAGTCCGATTTCGTTTTCCACCCGATGAAGCCAATTAGTATTTTCATCAAATTGCTTCAGCTCCTCCTCCCTTTTTTTCTCCAGGTAGTATCGACGTGTCTTCAACATTGCAAGTCTATGATCTCGCTTGCAAGTGGCCTGCAACACAATTCATTTAATAGTATACTTGATTTTTGTGATATTTGATGTACATGATCATAGCAAAATAGTGTATTTTTGTCTAAGTATGTTAGTGTAGTCTATTAATTTAGGCTCTGCTTTTGTATTTAAAGCAACTTCCCCTTTGAAACCCCACAATACTAGTGCTTGTAGGAAAATAGGAAATTGAATTATGAGTTATTTTTATAACATTACATGTTAAGAGTTTATGGCTTTAAGAAATACAGTGGCCATATCAAAGACTATAATTTTTTTTTGTGTGTATGTGTGTGTGTATATGCTAAAATACATCCTTTCATTGTGCTGCATTTGTAAAGTTCATATAAGGTTTGATAAATTCCACAATTTCCTTACCCAAAGTCAAAATAAAAGCAAATGTATAACCTGTACTTCTCTTTTCTCCAGTTTGAAAGATATGAATAAATAAAGTGTTCTTTTGTTCTGGCTTTGCCTATAAGACTTTAAATTGGTTGATACAAATGATAGAAAAGAGAGCTTACATCAGAGTGCTTGTCATCTGATCTTGCCTATGTTTGGGTTCAGGTCCATTAATGGATACTATCACTATATTTGGTGTTTTATATTTGCACAAATTGAGAATGAAACTAGTCTTTTGGTTTGTCTCTTACCCAAAGGGTCTTGCACTCTATCACGGTAACTATGGGTCAGAACAGCTTGACCTCTGTGGGCAATTTGCCAAAATATATTGAATTCAATAATTTATCAGACATGATAGGTGTGTCTGAAACAATAAATCCCCACAGATTAGAAAAAGCACTTGCAGCTGGTATGGAAAGCAGAGAATGAAAAAATAAAGAGCAAGAATTAGACTTGAAATTGGTAGACGACTCCTTCAGTAATAAATTCAAACTTGCGAACTTTTTATAAAATATGTATTATTAACACTTGCAGGCATATAACAAAAACATCCATCAACACGAAGGATACTAAATGAAGGGCCAGGCAAAGGTAGCTGACAATAACTTATCACCAAATCCTAGATATCCATGTTTTACTTTACCTTCCCTAAATAGGAAATATAAGGGTCAGGGAGAAGCAGATTGCACCTCAGGCTAGACTCAAATGATCAAGGAAAAATGATAGATAGGCATTATCACTCTCATCAAGGTTCTTGAGTTTTTATTGTGATTTCCCAAATTAATTATATCCCAATCACTCTTTGTCTGGGTAAAACTTTAACAAAACAAAACAAACTGCTTAAACAAAGATGAAGACAGACAAAACAAATGTAACCGCTAAACTGGAGGAAAATGTGATAGACTGTTATAATGTTAAAGTTCTCCAAGTGTGGTCTATGCAGAAAAAGAAGTCTGCAATCTTTAAAGATGCCCGAGATCCTTTCACGGGGGTCATATGGTCAAAACTGTTTTCATAATAACATTAAGAATTATTAGCCACTTTAATTCTTATTCACCTATCACTGCATAGTAAAAGTTTTCCAGAGGAAAAATGATGTGTTATATTGCAACAGAGTAACAAAGAAGCAGATAGGAGGATACAGCTGATATGAATAGCCAGGTATAGACATTTTCAAAATTTTAAAATAAAACTACTCTTCTCACTACTTATTTTTATTTTTTTGTTTTAAAAAACATACTTAGCTATCTTTCATATTTTATGTTATCAAGTAAGGAGCTACTTGTAAACAAATGAACAAATATATTTTTGTAAATCTCATTTTTAATTCCTAATAGCAATATTGGTAGATGGAATCTACATAAACAAAAGGTCTTTGAAGTCCTAAGTAATTTTTAATGGTGGAAAGGGGTCCTGAAACATAAAGTTTAGAGACTGCAATAACAGAAAGAGGAGATGAGAAAATATGACCTATTTGATGTTCTTCTGCTATTGAGCAGTTGTGAAAAGTCAGGCAAGTCAATCTCAGTGGGTCTCAGTCACCTCATCTGAAAAATGCAGATGCATACATTGTCCCTGTTTGAATGTAGGCAGCTAAAATGAATTATTTTTATTTTAACATTTGCAAATGTTATGGGGATTCTAGAAACCAGGACAAGAAATGATATGTGGATGTGAATGCAGCACTATTTAATAGCAGAACGTAAATGAAAGCTCAAAAAGTTGTTGACTTTTTACATTTTATGTCCATCAAATGTATTTTCTGTGATGATACTCTATGGGGACATTTTCCATAGGTGTACGTACTCCCACTGAACCATTGTTAAGGAATATTAAATAAGTGTTGTTTGGGGATACATTCTTAAGTATACAAATTAGACCTTGACATAAAATGAAATGTTTCCCATTAAGGCTTGAAAATAGCTTTATATATTTCATCAATAAAATTCAGAACACCACAAAAATTCTGAGAGATAACATAGTTTTAAATTTTTAGATATGATTATTATTGCTGTGTGTAAAAGAACTGCTAATATGGTAAAATCATATATTTTTAAATTAAGAATAATTTTTACAAATTATCTTTATGTGGCCATAAAACTGCCCAGGAGATTTTTACCTCAATACTAATTTTAGCATTCATACTTCAGACCTATTTGTAGCTGAATCAATGTTATGAAATTCTGTCACTACTTCTGATAAACCTCTTTTGCAGAGTGTCCAAAACTTATAAAATCCTTTGCTTTAGAAACCAATTTATTAAGACTATAGTTTGACACTTCTGTGTAAAAACAAAACAAAATAGAACTCAGTCTATTTTTCTTCCTATATTTCTCAATGGCTTAGCTATAGCCAATAGCTTAAATTCGTGTTTGTGTTTTGTTCTCACTGTGTAGCTCAGGTAGGCCTCAACTTATGAATCTCCTGCTTCTGCCTCCTGAGTGTTGGGATTACAGGTATGTGCAGCCACGCCTGATTAAAAGGCTTTTATCTCCATTGCTTACCTAGCTTTAAGCTCTGGACACGGTGGATCAAACCTGTAATTCCAGCTACTCGGAGGGCAGAAATAGGATGGATGTTTGAAGACTGCCCAGGCAAAAAGTTAGTGAGACTCCATGTCAAGGAATAAACTAGTGTGATGGTACATGCCTGCATTTCCAGTTAGGCAGGAAGTGTAAACAGAAGGATTGTAGTCCAAGAATGGACTTGAACAAAACACGAGATCCTATCCGAAATATAATTAAAGCAAAAAAAAGGGCTGGGGGCACGGCTCAAGTGGAAAAGCACCATGAATAGTTAAAAACTGGTAAGATGTAGGCTAAAATAAACCCAAAGCAAGAAATCATAAAAGGCAACTGGACTAAAAAGAGGTTAATAATAAATAATAAAAATTGAAACAAAAAATTAAAGAAACCAGTCAAACCACTACTTTGTCTTAATCTTTCTGGACATTACATTAAAAATTCATTGGAGGAATTAAGACAGAGTAAAATAACAATGATGTAAATTGGTTGGGATTAAATAGATTGAGCTTATTAACTGTACTAAATAATGTGTTCATATGTATTAAACGATGGCACTCAGATTCTAAGTTCTGGTAATACTACTCAGACTAATGACAAAGACTGTCTTTTTGCTACAAAAATATTCTAAATTCTTGGCAACAAATGCTTCCACGACGTGTGCCACTATCCTGTCTTCCCAATCACTTGTCAATAACTCCCAAAATAGTAAATGTCTTAACACCATGTGCCAACTCTATTCATAGTAGGTAGCTCTGGCTACTTTCAAGTTCCACAAGATGTGGCAAATTGATCAGTGAAATATGCTATGAGTGAACGAGCAGGTTTTTGAATATTTTTAATCCCAAACCAATTTACATCATTGTTATTTTACTCTGTCTTAATTCCTTCAATGAATTTTGGATGTAGGTGCCCAGAAAGATCAAGACAAAGTAGTGGTTTGACTGGTTTCTTTATTATTATCGTATCTAGAATATACTATTCTTATTTGTTTTTCTCTAATTGCTATTCTCATGCAAAGCCCAGCAAAAATGTTTTCTTTGAACCAGGAAGCCTTTCTTACTCACCCACCACAATGGGAAACCACTAGTTTCTCTTCTAATAGTAATAACATTTATAGTTCTTATAGTATTGCAATAGCAGTGACTAAGAATGCAGACATAGGCCAAACAGCTAGGGTTTAATATTGGTTCAGCCACATTAAATACGTTAAGTTAACTCTAGACAGTTTACTTTGTTCCTCATAAATGGGTGGTACTACTGTATCTAACTAATGGAGTTGTCATAAATTCTCAAAATTAATCTACAGAAAGGACTTAAAAATGTCTGGCACAGTTAATATTTAATATATTAATATTAACTGTCTTCATTGGGATACTACTATTTACAGACAATCATATAGTGCCTTGTCATTTTTATTGTTGAACTAGTATATAAATAACTGAATGACATATACAATCTCATATTTTTCTTTACTTCCATTGTGCCTAGCACAGGGCTTTGCATATAAATAAAATAATGTTCAATAAGAACTTTTAAAAATTGAGATATTAAGTCTGTATCAGCATCCCATGACTGCATGTCTTGCCTTTTGTTAGAAATAAAACCAGGTAACTGCACTTTCAAATTAATTGGCACCTATTTAGTGAATATTTATACAAAACTGAAAAGAAGAATAATTATTCTCAACAAAAATTACTTTATAATTTAAGATGTTAAATATAATATGGTACTATTTCAGAATCCCATTAACAACCATATGAAAGCGGTTCACAACAACAAACTGATATATTAATCCTATGAGATTTTTGGAAGTCATTGTTTTTATTAAAGAAGTCTCAAAGACATAAATTCAGGACTGGGGGAATAGCTGTGCAAAACCCTGGGTTCAATTTCTGGGGGGTTGGGGGAGAGGAGAAGGAAAGAAATTTGGTTTTTCTTTCATCTTAAAAAGATGTGAGGGACACTTTAAATGAATTTTGAGAAAACAAAATTAAAGAGGATCTTTCAGTTCAATCCCCAGTACTGCCAACCCCTCCGTCCCAAACTTTTATAGGGCACAATATATTAAAGTCGGTAAATTACTCCAATATTAATAATATAGCTCAAAAGCTGCTGATAAACTGGTATTGATGATATTAATGAATGCTTTATGATTACTTTTTAGTATATCACACTTTCTCCATTTCATAGGGAAGAGAAAGCTGAAATGCTAGGTGTTGTGGTTTTTTTTTTTTTTTTTTGTGGTATTGAGGTTGGAACTCTGGGCCTCACACTTGCAAGGCAGGCACTCTGTTGGTTGAGTTATTCTACCAGCCCTTTTTTGTGTTGGGTATTTTCAAGATAGGGGCTCATGAGCTATTTGCTTGGGACTGGCTCCAAACCCCAGTCCTCCTGATTTCTGCCTCCTGAGTAGCTAGGATTACAGAGGTGAGCTAGTGGCACCAGGACTGAAATGCTAGTTTTTAAAAAGCACTTAAGGGGTCAGGGTGTAGCTCAGTGGCAGAGTATTTGCCTAGTATGCATAAGGCCCTGGGTTTGATCCTCAGAACCACAAAAACAAAAACCACCACAACAAAGCAAAAATCCAAAATCTAAATAAAATGTTTATTTTTCTGATTGTTTGTGATCTTATTGGTCTAGGTATGTATTTTATATTGCTTAGAACTAATTCTTCTTGAATATGTATCATTTTACTACTAGAAAATTCTCAGCCGTAATTTTTTTGTACCATGTCCTTTCATGGAGTATTCTGAAAATTAAATGAGTTAATGTTTGTAAAGTGCTAAACATTGCCTGGCATTATAAGTATAAAATGAGTTTTTAATTCTAGTTAACTACTCTTTAATTTCCGGAAGTTTCATTTGTTCTGGCCTGCCCATACTTAGGTATTCTTTTTTTGTCTTCATTTTTAATCTTTTATTTTCCATTCTTACTTTTACAACTTTATTCATTTACTCATTTTCATAGTTTCTGTTAAATTGATTTAGTATTTAAAGTTTTGGGGGTACTGTCATATTTGCTAAGTCTGTTAACTCTTGCCTGTGGTGAATTATTTCATCATGTGTTTTTAAATTTTAGACTGTGAGTTCATTAATGGCTAAGAGTTGGGGGCTTGTTTCTCAAGGCTAATTTTGCATTTCTGCTTGCCAAGTTCCACAGAAGTATCACTTTTTTTTTATATACCATTCTGTTTATTAATTTTTCAACTTTAGGGCTTTTCTAAATAAAACATATAGGTCATGGATTGTTAAAATTCAGACTTCAATCACTAAAAAATAAAACCATACACCTATAATAACAGACTTTAAATAAAACTTTTTTCCCTTACTCTTGTCATCTTGTGTTGTTGGCATGATTCCCATCCCACCATGGATAATGGTTTTACCTCCAGTATGAAAGGTATAGAACTCTGCAGTTCCTAGTACTTGGTGGGAGTTCTTATTTCTAACTCATTGTCTCCCTTGGGTCTCTAAGTAGTAGTATAAAAGGCAGAGAAATGGGAGTAGTCTATGTGTGTGGAGGTGACAAAGCACTGCTATTATATATTCTTTTCTGAAAAAAGTTTCCGCTGGTGCAAGATGTAAGCTATTACCTGAATCTGGATAGGCTGTTTCCACCAATCTCCTTGAACATGTTTTAATTTCCTGTGAGGAGTTCCATAGACCCTCAGAAAAATAACAGTCATAACTGAGATTTTGCTTTTCTGGTTTCTTTATTGTTGCCAAAATTGAGAAATTTATTTCTGTATATATTACACATTTAAAATAATATTTGCTATATTTCCTTCAACACTTCCAAGTGTCTGTAGAGAATGACTGGGTAACTAACCTTGCCTATTAAATTCCTAGAATTAGAAGTCTGCAAGATTTTACACTTTCTAAAATCAATTATGAAATAAATACCTTTTCTACTTTGTCTTCAGAGCACATCATTTCTATTTGCTTATGGCACTGTTGCTGATAGAAAGATTTAAGTTCATTTTCTTTAAGTAACATTTCCAACTTTAGATATTCTTGTCTGATTTCTTCTCGATTCTGGAACAAGCAGGTCAGAATTTCCTGAAATCTATGAAAAGTAAAACATCACAATATTTCACTAATTTTGTGATAAATAATACAAATTTATGTAAATGAATTAACAAAATAATATATATGTATATCACTCACAAAATTATACCCAGTGATAAACAGCAAGTAGGTTTTTTCTATTACAAAAATGTTTAGAAAGGGATATTATCTTTATTTGTGCTACTTTGTTTCTCTTTCTTCTCCAAAGAAAATAATGTTATTGAAACATAGAGGTATCATAAGGTCTATGGTATTAGTAATTTACTACATCTCATCTACACTTATATCTATATATAGTCTAAATGCTTAGCAAAAATAAAATATTCAATGTTTGCACAAAAGGATTATAATCTGGATCTGTACTATGCCAATTCTGAAGGCCCCAATAGCATTGTGTTGTTTTCATGTTGGCTTACTGTGAAGAAATAAGCAGTAGGAATCATAATCATATAGTATCTCCATAGCCCCCTAGGGAAAGCAAGAGAGTCAATTTTTAGCTTCTGAATTACAGTAAAAACTCACCATATGGTTAGGGACCCCTACAGCTTGGCTAAGGGTCAACTGATAATATCAGGATCTAAAACATCTAAGTTTACAATGTGTTGAACCTAGAAAAGAAGTTACAGTTTGCTTCCTCAAAAGGGTAATATAGATGTAAAGGGTCAAAGGTGGAGAGTTGATTCAGATCTCCAAATGCCCAAAGACTCCTATGAAAACTCCTGAAGGAACCAATCCTGTACCTTTCAGGGTCATCAGAACATTGGACAAATAATATTTTAGTCCTATAAAAATGTATTTTTGCTTTTATGTCATAGATCAGCTTTGAGACATAGTACCAGTATATTCAGTCACATATAGGCAAAAACATCTAAGAAAAATTAACTGTGAAGCCTTTAAAATGAAATCAAGTATGTGCATTTAAAAATAAATGTTCTTTGGTCAGAATTTTAGATATATTTGTAAGGATTTGTGGTAAAAATACTGCCAATCTACGTCAGTAGTTCTTAATGAAACTCTATTGGGAATGAATATTAGCCACAATACATTGACTTGACTGCAGTTTTATCAAACTGATAAATATTTAATAGAAAATATGTATAGACACTGATTTCTTTGCATTATATTACAACAATGCTAATGCCAGTAAATGAATTGACAAGTTATCTTTAGGTTATACTCCAAGATAATTTCTTAGTTTTTTGTAACTTTTTACTCAAGGACAAAGTTATACTGTCAATTTTGTGTCTAGACATTTTACTGGCAGTGTTTACTGACTATCATGGAAGGAAAGGAATTAGCATCAAATGTTTTTAGAAAGTACCTACTAAAAAATATTGAAACTAGAACAAGTCCAAAGGGATTGACAGCTGACTATTTTCTAGTCATTGAGAACATTCAAGTTAACTAGAATTTGCATTAACAAGAATCAAGATAATAAGAATTTGCACAAATATTTTTAGGTGATATATATGGATTATGCCTTGCAATTTTCTTGGCACAATCACAAGTTTTATAACTACTGTTTATAAGGAATAATTGCATTTTCTTTTTATGATTTCCTCTTGAACATTATTTTTTCAAATAGCTTCAAGATAGCACATACAATGTATTTTTCCCATTATCTGTTTAAACTTCATAAATACGCTATTTAAATTTTAGGGAAAAGGTCACTTTGAAAATTCATGGCATTAAAAAGGTCCCATAAGTTCAAACCCCAGTCCCACCAAGAAAGTTCCATGTAACACTATGATTGATATAGAAGATGTTTGATGTGGGAGGCAGTAACTTTTGATGAAAAAGGACAAACGTTATGTATGGAATACATAATTTTCTAATTACCTTCTTTAAAAATACATTTATTTAGTGTGTTACTAAAAATAAAATCATAATTTAGGTTGATGATTAATAGGTTAAAATATAAAAAGTGCCCCAGTAAATGTTCACTTAGTAGCTAATCACCCTTCCTTGTGAATAATTTTATCAGAAAAGAAGGTTCAATGATTTAAAGTCATCAACGTCAAAAAAGTTTACTAATTTGTAACATTTTAATTGGCAAAGTAGACTTGGTTAAGTTGAATTGAGAAACCATATGGGAGCAATTGTTCCAACTTTGAGAAACTGATGATTAATTTTCAAGAGACCTGGATTACAAGAGGACTTCTGCCATACTTGATAACAAAGTAAAGTAGTAATAACTAATAATAACGTATCAGACTTAAAAGCTTTATTTGATGAGATTGAATGAGTAACAGGGAATCCTTTACCTATGTTATTTGTTAAGACTTTAAAAGTAGGAAATAATAAAAAATGTCTAATAAAATATAATGATAATTTAGTCTTGAAATGGGTTGCTAGGGGGATTAACAGAAAATAATTTAACATACTAGAGAGTCTCTAGCATAAGCAGAGCTAATGAATTTTAACAGTATATATATCAACTTTATGTTATATGAAAAACTGATTACTGTCACTGATAGAAGTAACTTTCTTCTTATGATGTTTTCAAGGTAGCATGGGAACACAAGGACTAAGACTTGAAAGATAAGAAAGTTCTTATTCCTGTCCATAGTAGAGAAACAATATCTCCCTTAACAGTACTTGAAAGGGTTGTTGTAGTAACTAGATGAAAGTACTATTCATCAACAATTCATCAAAACCTACAAAACAATACATAAAAATAAAATAGAAGTAGTCTAGGGAAAAAAAAGTTAACATAGTACTCAAGAAGACATTTTCCCTCAAGTAATTATGAGTTTTGCACATTAACCCTTTGGAACATTGGATCAAAAAATGTCAATCTTCAGAAGTTCTAAGAAGGCAGTGGGTCAATTTGGAAAATAACTGCTTTTATACCAACTTACATCACTGATAGATGTTTGTTCAAATAATTAATGACTTAAGTGGATTAGATTTACTTAGAATCAACAAAACAGAGGAAAGTAGATTTACATGTACGCTATTACAAATAATAATAATGGCAAAGAAGAAAAATATGAGCACTGCTAAAAACTACGTAAATGACATAATTGGTCTCACTGCCTTTGTCTTATACTTAAACCCTATAAAATAAAAACTAAAATGATCTGATTTCCAAAGTGTACAATATAAAGAGCACTCAGTGACCACCTGAATTCAGTTTAATATGTGCATACATATATGACATATAACAAATGACTAAAATATCTGACTAAATTTTAAAACAATAAATTGGTCAAAATAAGATCTTGCTATTTTTACCTTTCAATTTCTTTTTCCTGAGGGTTTGAAATCATTAACTTTGTCTTGTCATTTTTATTAGCAAGGGCTTTTTGTTCTTCATAGGCTTTTAGCTTTTCTTTTAACATTAAAATCTAGTAGAGAGAAAACACTAGTTAAAATACAAAACAAATTATTTGTCTTCATGATACATACAAGATCAGAGCAAATGTAGCTATGAAATATAACTCAATAAACCAGATTTCAAATGTAATAGAAATATATTACATTTCTGGACAATTAGTAATAAAGAATTCTGTAAGTCAACAACTGAGGGAGATTAGCATTAACAATGTGAATAGTAGACATACCTCTGCCTTCTGTTCATTACAGATCTTTACATACTGAGATATATGACTGTTGAGATTAAGAACATTGCTCTTCAACTGTTAAAAGAAAAAAAATCATGATTGTGAATTGTTATACATAGGAGCAAAATGGAATTACATCTCATTAATTCAGTTTCATCAGTTCTGAGTTTGTGACAATATGACCATGTGACAATCAGGATTAATTTTACTCATGTTTAAAATGTGTGAAAAGAGGGTATGCTGACCACATTAATAATATACTTGAAATTATGAAGAAATTGCTTTACTGAGAAAAGATACTTTTAAGCATTTATTCACAGTACAATAAAAATTGCTTATTTTCCTTTTATCTGATTTTTAAGAAATTCAGAACTTTATGTTCTACCCATTAATGAGATCAACTAGTTTTTACTAAGTTATTATGCTTCATCATTTTTATAATAGTATGGGCCTATGGGCATATATGGAGTAGTGAGAACATTAAACATCTAATTCCAAACACTTGATTTTAATGCTCTCACCATTTCTCACTTAACTGACTTAGAATTTACTACTTAAAACTCCTCTGAGCTTTGGCTTACACTACATTAAGTGGAGGTAAACATGCCTTTTGCAATGGGTTGAAGTAAGGATGGTATGAAAATTTTGTGTAAAAAAACCTTTGTACACTTATATAGAATGACCTTTTATAAAGGTATGACATTTCTCTCAGGACAAGAGCCTCATCTTTGGGAACTTAGAGTAGAAGAGGAGAGAGGAAGAAAAGAGTTATTATATCAGTGGTATCTTCTAACCTGAGATCTTATGATTTTAAACATACAACATGTTTTGACTTACCTTTTAAAAAATATCCCAAACCTTTTGGCAAAAATATCAACTTAACAAATTATATACATTATATTTCTTGAGCTATATAGAAATTGGCACACCAATATGACAAGTATAGAAATTAGCTATGCTATAAAGAGTTCTTTACATTATAAAGCTAGGTAGGTTTTATAGTTAGCTGGTGCTCAGCTAAAGCACAGCATCGTCTTTTGTGACAACAAATGTGTTAAGGTCTTGACTGATCACTCCAGGGTACGATACAAGTATCATATGCCATGATGGGAAAAAGGTTGAGAAGGAAGGCAGTAAAGCACTCAAGATTGATTAATATTATCCATTTTATACAGAATCAAGATGCATAAAGAGGAAGGTTTGACTGAGTCAGTGTTCAATTATTCAGGTAAGTAAAGACATTTCCAGTCCTTAGCTACCTACCTCCTTAATAGAAATACAACCCCAATTAATACTTTCACTGGGATTATAAAAATAATATGCACCCAATACTTTCACAGCAAAGGCAAAGTAAACACACTTACAGAAGATTTAATGTCTTTTGCTCTGTTAGCATACTTAAGAGTGTTATATGTGTCATCGTAGAATAAAGAGGAAGGACTAACGGCAGCTATCATTATAGTTTGACAGTTTCCTCCAAGAGAATCCTTTAACAAGCGAGTAAGCTTACTATTTCTGTAAGGAACATGCTGATTCTTTCTCTGAAAGAACAAAAAAAGAATTCTTATGTCATTTTCCACATTTAAATGCAAACTTGCTACTACTTCACTGTAAGAGTTTAAGCACTGCCTGACTATGCCCAGACTTATGATATAATTGGCGATTGAAATGATGGTAATATATCTTATACTACTACTTGGTGAATACATAAGACAAAAATCCTACTGAAAAATTGTATCTTCACATAAGAACAAGGTTCAGTTCATAACAAAACATAGTATCAATACTGGTTCATTAGTTGTGAATGATATACCATATTAATGTGAAAGGTTAACCATATGGCTGGGTGCAGGTGTGCAGCTATAATCCCAGTTACTCCAGAGACTGAGACAGGGGAATCATCAGTTTGAACCCATTCATTTTTAAAACAGAAATTCAAGTTAGGCATTGGTGGCTCACATCTGTAATCCTAGCTACTCAGGAGGCAGAGGTAAGGAAGATAGAGGTTCCAAGCCAACACAGGCAAATAGTTCGTGAGACCCTATCTTGAAAATACCAGGTGGAGTGGCTCAAGCTGTAGGCCCTGAGCTCAAGCCCTAGTACCACAAAAAAAAAAAAAAAAAAAAAAAAATCAAATACAAAAGTAAACAAATGTATGTGCTATATAATTATATTAGCAGAACAATAAAAGTTCTGCATGCCACAGAGCTATTTCTCTCCTTAAATAATTATCTAATATGAATATTAAAAAATACAAAATTACAGATACTTTACATAAAACTGCAAGAGATTTCTGAGAACTTAATTTTTCAAGATTTCCTTTACTGACTTTAAAGTAACAAATTCTCCATGAAGTGTAACTTCTATATAAAAACAGATTTGTTATGCTACTTAAAGCAACCTTACTTTATCAATGCATATTTTTCATTTTAAAGAAGAGGAAATTGAAACTAAGCAAAGTAAAATGAGTTGTCTCAGGTTGGAACTGATAAATAACAGAAGTAGAAATAAGTCACAGGTTCCCCAATTCTTAGTAATATGCTTTCACTACAGCAATCTTTCCCAAAAAGTATGGATTGTGTACTACTGATGCTACTTGAAATGATTTTACATGGACAAGACATGTATTATAAACTGGCTTATAAATGGCTCTATAGGTATTTTTCCTTAAAACTTGAATATTAATTATTAGTACATATGGCAAATATTTTGTATCTTGTCTGCTCACATGCTAAAGATTTTAACTGAATATGAAAAAAATCTTGCTTTTGCAATCTTCATGTGATTTCAGTAACTTGTCATCTAAAAAGCCTTCCAAATTGTTTTAATATACCATATTATAAATCAAATATAGCATTTTGAACAGTTTAGCAGTAATTTCCCTAAAGTTTCTGAGTCTGGTTATACTTAAATTATATTTTAGTTTACAAGTACCTTAGTTATCCAAAATGTTGTGTTCTATTAGCACTTCTGGCATATAGCACATGTAAAATACTTTTAAATGTCCCAAGGCATTTAATAAACACCATCCTATAAGGTGATTATATCATATCACATTTAAAATCTTAAGTCTTTCCTTTCTTTAACAAAAATTAAGTCTTTAATATTTAATGCAATTTCATGATATATAAAACACTAACCAGGCATTTTTTTTTTCTAAAATATGTTTGTATGTATCTATGCCAATTCATTCTTGTCCTGCAGTGATCACCGAATGGCCACTTTAAAAAGAACAACTTCAAAGCTGGAGACTGAAGCAGGAGGATGGAGAGTTTCAGACCATCATGGGGTACACAGTGAGATCCTTTCTCAAAACAATAAAACCCCCAACAACCAAAAAGAACACCAAGTACCATAATGAAAACTTTAGCCAGATGGTTTAAGTCAGCTTCTATGAGCCAATCTCCATCATCAATGTCCAATGACATTCAATTGTTAAGAGAGGCAAGAAAAACAACAACAAAAAGAATGCACAACTTTTATTTATTGATACTTTTTTTTGGTTTTTCAGAGTCTCATTTTGTAGCACAGACTGGCCTTGAACTCAAGATCCTCCTGCATGTGACTCCTAAGTGCTGGGATTATAGATGTTTTCCACCTTGCTGGCTCACAAAATATCAATTTTCAATCTGTTATTCATTACTTTTCCTTTTACTAATTCTGATTATGACACTGAAAGTAAAGAAGGCATCTTGAAAACAACCCAAACCAAACCAAATCATACAGCTTTATTCAAAAGTTCAGAGTTACTAAAAGTCTGTCTATATCTGAAAACTAATATAGTCTTGAAATTTGGTTTATAATAGACTTTCAAAATAAACTTACATTATAGTTTATCTTTCTAGAAAATATGCTTCAGCATTTAAAAATATTTATAAACATGAAGTATCTACCTTTGTATCTGCTAAGGCATTGATGACATTCCCGAGAGCTAAAAGTGATCTGTTAATATTTGTCCCTTCTACAAACCGGGTTCCTTTAGCACCGCTAGTGCTAGCACGCTCAGACCCTGCCAGGTCAATAAGCGACATCTTGGCAATACGGACATTTTGGTTGATGCTTGCAGTTTTGTCTTGTTGTCGCAAATAAATCTTAAGATATAGAATAGAGAAAAATGAGAATAAGATTTTAAAAAATTAAAAGGGAAATACTTTATTTTCAGAAGAGCATGAAATGAAAATTATTGTCACTTTAAAACCAACTGAACAAGGTATAATGACATTTAAGAATATTGGAATTATTAATGTAGAAAAAAGTACAAAAAAGCAAAGACTTCTTTACAAGTGTAGTCACAGTTTGATCTTAAATTTCCCAAAGGCCCACATGTTAAAGGCTTGTTCTCCACAATGGTGCTAACTGGAGGAGGTGAAAACGTTTAAGAGGGGTCTCAGTAGGGCCTGGTGGTCGATGCTGAGCAGGAGGATCACTTGAACCCAGGTATTTGAGACATGCCTGGTCAACACAGCAAGACCCTGTCATTCCTCCCTCACCCCCACTCCCCAAAAGCACAAATGAGCTGAGGCTGAGTGGCAGGTCTCCTAGTTATTGGTGGCATGCCCATAGAGAAGAATAAGGCCCCAGCCCTTTCCTATTCCTTTCTATTTTCTCATTCAGGGCATTAGAGGAAAGATTTTTCCACATACCCTTTCATGTTGTGCTGACTTACTACAGGCCCAAACCTCCAAAACTGTGAGCCAAAACAAACCTTTTCATTTATAAGTTGATTATCTTAAGTATTTGTTGCAGCAACAGAGAGCTAACACAATGTTCCAGAGGGAAAATAACTCTTGACCTATTAAAAGTAAAAACTACTATCATCTGTATTCTGGTGCCCTTTGACCCAGAACATGGAATTATCAGAGATAATAGCGGGAAACACAAATAATGTAAAAATAATGTTCCCAAGGGAAAACAAAAGATAGTGGTCAGAATAGTCTAGGATTATCCATGCAGGAAAGCTGAATTTGAATGATCTAAACCGAAAAGCAAATTTATTTTAATTCCCCAAACCATTGTATATCCATATAACTAAGGGAGTATTATATATAAAAAAGGAGTAGTAAATTATACCTGTTATTTGCAACTGCCTAGTAAGATATAATTTATTCAAATATTTTAAGCTGCTCTGTAGCAGTTTAACTGAAATAAAATAGGTGGTAAAAGAAATGGAAAAGGCAAGCTATTACTCCATCATAAAATCCATTTATTAAATTTTCTTTTAAAGCAAGATACAAAACATTCAGGGAAATCTTGGTGTCACAAATATTTCTCTTAAGACTATTGATAATCGAAAAGTTAGTGATGAGAACAGAGAAGACCAATTAAAGTTTGTTGTCTGGAGACTATCTGAATGGCTTGATTGCCTGAAATATGAAAGCTTTCAACTAAAACAATTTCTTTCTTATAAAATGAATTTCATATTGCATAATGCAGAATGAAGTTTTATATAATAACTTGGAGATAAAACAAGACTAGAAACTATAAGCAATAAGAAACTAACTTCTATCATTACCATTTTATGAAATCCCGTATCAATATTTTTGTAAAATCATATAGGTCAGAAAGCTAGTATTTTTGATTTACATCATCTCAATTTTAAATATTCTTGGTGGTAAAAAAAGTTGCAAAGTAAAGGAAATACTGAAAAATTTAGATGTCTACAGATAAATAAATTTTATTTTCATGTATGAAAATTATCACCTATGAGCTTGGCTTCATTTATTTTAAGTTCCTATGTAAGAGTGATAGCCTAATGGCCTGTTACCTGGAAAACAGCATGAGAACGAGAAGATGTAGCGTTCATATCAGTAGGATGCTGTGTCCTGTTTTTGTTTCCATTATCCAATAAATGTAAAATTTCCTCTGAGGACTTGGGCTAGAAAAATTTAAGTAAAAAGGAAATATACAAATTAGCAATTAATCTTTATGCTTTTCAGCAAACTTGCTGGGGATCAAACTTGTAACCTCATACATGCAACCTAGTTCTTCAATACACATTTAACAAATAAAACTTTCTTTTTGGTGGCACCAGAGTTTGAACACAGGGCTAGTAGGTGTTCTTACTCTTGAGCCACTCAGCCAGCCAACAAATAAGACTTTTAAAGGTAAAATAAAATGCAAGAAAATGTTTTCAATAAATTTAATCCTATTAAATATTGACTGTGTATCATATGCTTAGTACTTGGTGTTATATGAGAAATAAAAGGTAAGTAGCTAGTCTCTGCAGAGATGAAAATATAAATGCAGTTAGCATATTAAATGTTCAATCAGACTTTAAAAGTAAAAGGAAAACAAATAAGACTAAATATATATTTTAACCACTTTCATCTCGTACTTCATTTGTATGTTTCTCAAATGGGATGGAAAATATGTAAATGGTTGCTGTAAATGGCTAAACAGATATACTATTCTTAGAGGAAAAGAAGACATTTATAAACATACTTGGTGTAAAGTCAGACCCTGAACAACAACTCCATTTTGGGCATCTTCCCGGACAGCAAGTGGCCCTGAATTTACTAAGAGATCACGAATCTGCTCATTATATACCTGAAAACAAAAAGAAACATTTTAGCATTGATGTCAAATAACAAAGATTGTATCACAAACATTGCTAATTGAAATTTATTACAATCTTATTTTAAGGATAAGCATCAGTTCATTCATATTCTTCTCACCCCTTTTATCTATAAATTTTCTAACATCCCAGAAAATTGGAGTTTCATCACCTAGGTTTACAACTGAAACTTAAAGTAAGAGTCATTATATTCTCACCCTATAATTTCTGACTCTATAACTATGATGAACCAGAGATAAGCAAGATGGCTGAATTGCCTATTCTTATTTTGTGGAAATGTATAAATTTAGAGAACAAATGTTAAGAAAACCCACACTCAAGGATAGATGGTATTTGTGTCCTCAGTCCTTTAACCACATTAAGTTTACTATGTAATTACTGAGACCATCATTTGAATGACAGAGGAACTCAGGTCCTTAGTGATTTGCCTATGGGTCCTTTTGTTTTTTAATTATTCTTTTTCAAATAGGGTCTAACTAGCTAACTTGCCTCAGCTGACCTAGAACAGTGATCCTATCTTCCCCTTCAGAGTAGCTGGGATTATAGGCATGCATCATCATGCCTGGTTAAATCTTAACTTTCTACCTGTAGCAAAATTTTAAAAGTAATTTCTATAAATAATACAAATAGTACTATTGACTTGATTTTTCTGAATTTATTAAACGTACAAAGTTTTACTACTTGCCAATCAAATGACAATTGCAACTATTACTGAAAAGATTTAAGAAAAAACCCACAAAATAAAGAGTTTAAAATTTCGATTTGGGGACTGTTGATGTAGCTCAATGATAGAGCGCTTGCCTAGCATGCATTAGGCCCTGTGTTTAATCCCTAACATAAAAGATAGAATTATTTCTTTCTACATTCTAATAAATAACCCACAGTGATAATTCTTTGCTGGTATAATTATCCACAAGGAATGATACATTTTATTAAGATATATTAAACTCTTAGTCATAAAATACTATAAAGAGGTAATGTTTTAATTCTTATTTTTCTGATCAGCAGCACTAACTTTTCTGTTGCCCCTCTTTAACTACATTAATCAAATCAAACAGAATGAAAACTCTCAAGCTGATCTGTGCATCAGACTGTGCATGGGAGCTCTTAACAAATACAGATGCCTTGGCTACATTACAGATTTACTAAATTAAAATATCCAATGGATGAGTTATAACTATATGTATTTTTTTTAATGCTCCACAGACAATTCTTGTGCAATCTGAGTAGAAACCATATTAGGCACTGCCTTATCACTGATATCACTAACAGAATGAACAGACTGAAAGAAAATTTTAAAAAATTATGAAAATAGCCAAATTTCAAAATTCCTCAGAAAAGGAGCTAAGAAAAAAAGAAAGGTATTTCCCTCTTTTTTCTGAGTTCAGAACAATTGTTTTTACCACTTATCCATGAGTTTTGCTTCTCTTTTATCTCTAAGTTCTATAGAACAATGAGGAAACTTTTAGCCACATACATAAGTTAACCAATCCTTGGAAGAAACTCAGTAGGAACCCACTAGAAGATGTTAAGAGAAAATTTTTCTGACACTGTAATGCATATTAACATTGCCAGTGCAACAAAGGTTTTGTTTCTGCCTTGGTTTCTAAAACAGTCTGAACATAAAGTTAGGCGTATTTGTTAAAAAAAGTTGGGCTGTATTTGTTAAAAGCTCCTAGGTAAGTAAATGGTCTGCCATTTAGTTACCATACATTGTAAGAAACCCAGCGCAATAAAGAAAAAAAAAAAAAAAAGAAGAGGATAGGAGGCCTCAAAGAATGATGGAGCATGTCAAAAGGACACAGGGGCAGCATGAAGGAGACTCAACTGGCCAAATCTTGCATAATTTGAGCACATAAAAGATAATCACAGAAAGCGATTAAAATCTGCTCATAAAGCAATAATCTGTGGAGTTCATATTGATGTAAAGGAAAGAGAATGCTCTTCTGTAAATAGTCATTGAAAAAATATAAAAGAAATGATGAAATTTAAAATCATCCTCATCAGCCACGGAGGCAGAAATTGGGAAGATACTGGTTCAAGGTCACCCAAACAAAAGGTTTGCAAGACTCCCATTTCCACCAACAGCTAGGTGTGGTAGTGTGTACCTATCAATTGCAGGTACAAAGGAAAGCACAAATAGATGCCTATCTCAAAACTAACCAATGCAAAAAGGGTTGGCAGAGTGGCTCAAGTTGTAGAGCACCTGCCTAAAAAAGTGTGAGGCCCTGAGTTCAACCTCTAGTATCACAAAAAGCAGAAATCACCAGGTATTATCTTCATAATTGATTTAGGTATGAATCAATAGTGGATGCCAATACTAACAGAGGAAAGTTTGAGTAAGCAGATATTTACACTGTCTCTCTACAAAATAATCACTAATTATATAGGATAGAATAGTATCTTTTAGAGTAGTACAAATTTGCCAACATCAGCATAATGAAATTTATCAAAGTTAACACTGCCATTAATGGAACCAACTGACCTTATAAACATATTGATTATGAAGCAGTAAGAACAACATCACTCTGTGGTATTCCTGTTTGTCTATAATCTGAATCTAATAGTGAGGACCCCAAACTGAGGATTTTATGGCAGTGTCATAAAATACAATGAAACACACAAAAATTGCACATCAAAGGAAACTAAAGACATACTGAATGCAATTCATGATCTTAGATTTTTTTCCTCAATAAGCAGTATTAATAGAATTAGAAAAATCTAAGTTCTATAAATTAGATAATGATAATCTATTATTGCTAATTTTCCAATTTTGATAACCACTCAGTGGTTATTAAAAAAATTTCCTGAAAAATTTTTTTTCCTGTTTACAAGTTTCCAACTCCAATAGTTTTGGAAAAATAAATATACATATCCAGAGATAGAAAGCAAATCTAGTAAAATATTAATATGTAGGGGAATCTTGAGGAAGGATATCTGGAAATTCTTTGTAGTACTCTTGCAATTTCTCTGTAAGTCTGAAGTTATGTCAAAATACAAAAACTGAAAAAGTAAAATAAACAAGTTCAGAAATTTTAAGTTTTATATACCCATGAAAAATGTCCTATATCAAATAATTTAGTTGCCCATGTAACTAAAATATCTTTCAAAAATAATATTGCCAAAAGAAACAAACAAACAAAAAACCCTGCCAACTTACCTCCAGATAAGAAACTGCAGTACTACATACTTTGTCTTCTTTAATCTCATCCATGGATTTGTAAAGATCTAACATTGTTAGGTACATTACTCCGGGTTCAGCAGGTGATCCTAGCATGGTGTGTGTCTTCCCAGCTCCAGTGGCACCATATGCAAGTACTGAATTTTTATGAAAAGGTATCAGAGCTCTTTGTTACAACATAACATTACTGTATTCCACTGTCTAGTGGGTGTTTCTATCTGAATATCATTAACAGGAACTTTAAGCCCAATAGATACCAACTGTCCCTGTTTAGCACAAATGTCACTTTTTTCTGTACCTTCTCTGATTATCACTGGCAGAACTGTTACTCTTTCATTTATACCCTGAGTGTATACTACACCTCCAAATCCCTCCACCCTAGGATGTATGACACTGTATTTCCAACTGAGCTTCACCAAAGTAGAGGCAGTTTCCTTTAGTGCCTTAGCATATCATCTACACAAAGTAAGTATACAAGTTTGAATGAATGAATTCCACATAAAGGCCATTTATAAAATTCTCTTTTAAATTCTAACTTTAGGTAAAGTATTTCCAAGATTCTATCTAGTATAATATAAACATCATGCATTTCTTCAAATTTATTTAAAAAAATTCACTCTTTGATTTACAAATTGCAAACACCCAATATTCAGCTAACATATCAAGTTTTCATACACTACCAGTTGATAAAATGTTTCAGTAGAATGAACTAAACTGATATAAGTTTCACTTTGTTCTATTTTATGTAAGCTGGTATATCAAGAAGTCTTAAGACTAAGCTGGCAGAGTGGGCACAAGTACTAAGAGTGTCTGCCCAGCAAGCATGAAGTTCTGAGTTCAAACCCCAGTACCACCAAAAAAAAAGTCTTAAGACAGATGGATAAAAATATAAAGTAAAGCCAAGGAGAAACGAAAGATTCAACATTGGTAGATTTTTTTTTTTTTTTTGAGTCAAGAAAAAATTTTAAACAGGAAAAAAAAATTAGAAACTCTCTGAAGACTGTATGAAGAAGAAAAGTATATTAGATTAAAAATAAGAATCATCAGCTCCAATCAATGAACACATTCCATTCTTATTTGATCAAGAGGGCCAATCTTCTGTGACAAAATTATTTTTTTGTTTTTTGAGTAATAAATTTAATAAGCTTTGCGATTTACATGATTTTAAATAATTATTTAATCTGTAGCCTTTTGATCAGAAAGTGGTAAGCTTTTTTTTTAATTGTTTTTACATTTTCTCACATGTGTATACATTATTTGGGCTACCTCCCCCCAACTCTGTGACAAAATTGAATGAGTCAGTAATAGCAAAACATGTTACAGATGTGGATTATCTTGTGAAAATGTCATAAAAACTGATAACTACAAAAATAAGATAACAATAGTGTTCAGTGATTTGTAACCATTGAGTTAACTGGTCATTTTGCACATCTTTTTCTGAGAAATCACATGGCCTTTTTTGAAAAGCAAATGATAGCCTCTCCAATGTATTAGAGATGATTCTTGGGCTAAAGATATGTGATGCTCAATTATCATGGAGTTTTAACTTATTTTTTCAGGGTATCTTAAAGAAAAATTATGCTGCAAAAAAAACTGCCAGGGGTTCAGAAATCCCAACTCTTCAGGAGGCATAGATAATTGTATATATAGGTAGGTAGTGTGTATATTCATGAATCCAAATATGAAAAATTTAACATCAATTGCAAGAATGACGTGATTTAATAATACAGGAAACTGGAAATAGCGAGGACCCAGAAAGAGAAAGTTTCACAAATGATACATGTTATATATGATGACTGAATTTCAAAGGAGGTCTACAATTCAAGGTAGTCAATTGAATTTCTTAAAAATTGTTAGCATACTGCTATTTTGACTATAATTAGAAGAAAGGACCGAGCACATGTTTCTCCCAATATAAAGCTGAAATCAGATGGAGAAATTATATCCCAAACTGAAACAATTACCTGTGCAGTTATATCCATTCAAAAAACTACGAAGAATTGGCTTGGTAGTGTGTTCAAAAACTTCCATCTGAGTTGAAGTTTCATCAAAAACAGCATCAAATACAAATTTAAGATCTTTATTTTGTCTTTTTGTAATATCAAAATTTGTAACTTTCTTTCTACGGAAAAACGTGACTTCCTCTTGTTTGGGATCAAAAACTAGAATATGTTTATCCACAACATCAACAACTTTATGGCATCCACCTGCTTTTTCTTTTGTGTTTTCAGGGCGTACACGAACAACTACTTTCATGTGGTGACACAGGTCTTCCTTATTTGCAGACATTGTTGATTATCTTGATTTGTCTTTACATGAATGTCTGCTATTTCTGAATTAAAAAAAAAAATAAAGTTTTACCATCAGTTCTACTTATAACTGGCATGTAGCATTCTTTCAAAAAAGGTGTTAATTCTGTTCTACTCACCTGGTGTTACTGGGGAAAATATGTACACACACATCTATACCCTAAAATAATACCCATGCCACCTATTCCCCCCAAATCAAATGCCACACATTTACACAAAATCAGTTGGGGCTTTGGCTTAACTGAAATACTTTAGCTGAATTGTATACAACCACAGGTATAAGACCTGAAAATGGCTTTGATTTTCACAATGGTGTCAGCATTCTTTCAGCATGAGTAGTGAAAATGGAAAGGAAAGGATTTCTCAGAATCCTATCAAGGTAATAATGTGAGAGCTTTGGCTTGTGAACAGTTTTTAGTAAAGGTGATCTTGGTTACAAACTTTTTGGGAGTGGAAAGAGATAAATCCAGGGTGATCTCTACCTGCGCCTCAGAGATACCTGGGATTAAAAATAGTTCCAAGGATGCATCCACTAGCTAGCTCAGTTCTGAAGGTGAAAAAATGGAAGTATTTCTTGGTGTATTAAGAGGTCCTAGTCTCTCATCTGTTAATGATATACAATTTAAGGACCATCAATCATAGCTAGCAAATTTATAAATTAAGATTTGAGTTTATAATTAACTTAGATGAAAAAAGGAAAAGTAAATTAACAAAGGTAAATGACTTGGAAATCTCAACTATCCAGAAAAGAATCAAGAATCTAAAAGTTAAGATCCCTAACCCCAGTAGCACGCACACACACCCCAAAACAATATTTGAATAAGGACTTGAAGGAGGTAAGGGAGTTAGTATGATCTACCAATCTTACTTCTTGTCACATCTCCAATGGAACTGAAATCAGTATGTTAAAGAGATGCAGGTATTCCTATGTTTGTTGCAGCATTATTCACAGTAACCAAGATATGGAAACAACTTAAATGCACAACTGAAGAATGAATGAAAGAGTGTCATATTCCCCAGAGTGGAATACTATTCAACCTCTAAGAAGAATGAAATTCTGCCATTTCTTGAGGATATGGATGAATCCAGGAGACACTGTATGAAACAAAATTAGACAGGCACAGAAAGACTAACACTACATGATTTTCATTATATGTAAAATGTCAAAATTTGAACTAAAAGAAATAGAGAAGAGAATGACAAGAAGGGTGGGATGGATGGGGAAAGGCTGAAGTTATACAGAGGAATACATTCTGGTAACCTACTACACAGTAAGGTGATTACATTAACGTTAACAATAACATACAGTACAAGCAAATTTCTTAAAAAATATTTTTTTTGCCATACTGCAGTTTGAGCTGAAGGCCTTGCTCTTGCGAGGTAGGGACTCTACCATTTGAATCATGTCCCCAGCCTTGTGTGGCTTAGTTATTTTTCAGATAGGGTCTTACACTTTTTGACAGGGCTGGCCTCAAATCAAGATCTTGGAGCGGTATTACAGACTATACCACCATGCCTGGACTCTGTAAATTTTGAAATTGACTCTGTCAATTTTAAAGAGTGGATTTTAAATGTTTCATCCACAAAAGAGAAGCATGTGAGGTGAAGGATATGTTAACTAGCCTAATTTTCTTATTCAATTTTTGATGTGATGAGAAATATCAAGGCATTCCATTATTAGTCAATTAAAGATAAAACTAAAAAAAAAAAAAAACACACACACACTAGAAAACAACCCCTTCTGGGTAAGGATTAGAAACAGGAGGGAGTTAGCCATGTAGATACTAGGAAATGCACTTTCTGGAGGAGAAAATGGCTCATGGAAAAGATCCCAGGAAGGTGCTTGGTGTGTTAGCTAGAATGAAGTGAGTAGGGAAGGAGGGAATAATAAGACATGAAGAGAAAAATGTGGGGATTAAAGAATTTTGGATCATACACTGAATAAAGAACCTTAGGATGGTTCTGAGCACAGAAATAACAATCTGATCATATCACCACTCTGTAGAAACATAGTATTATGAACAGAGACTAACCTATTGAAGTAATATAGACAAGAGACAATGGAGTCAGCTTAGCACTCTGAGCTCTAATACCAGAACTCTGGTATTTGCAGTAGAGGTGATAAAGTGGTCAGCTTCTGTACCTACCCTGAAGGTAACCTCAATGGAATTTCCTGATAGGTGGAGGTGGAGTATGAGTGAAGATAGGATTCAAGAATAACTCCCCAAGTTTTTTGGCTTGAGTGTTAGAAGAATGGAGTAGCCATTAAGTAAGATGGAAATTATTGAGGCTACAGCAGGTTTGGGGTGTGTGGGTGGAGAGGAGATCAAGAGTTAAGTTTTGGATATAGTAAATTTAAGAGCTTTTACAGACATCCAGGTAGAAATGTAAAGGCAGTTGGAAGCCAAGTCAAGAATGTAAAGGTTGTCCTTACCATCTGAATGCAGTTTCAAGCATTTTAAATTTCTAAAAGTTTAAGGCTTACAACTGACTTAAGACTTTTGGGAAATCATGAAATCAAGGAGAATGATTCTGACACTTTGTGTTAAATAAATCTAACAGGTCAAGTAGTCATTGAGAATTAACCATGGGATTTAGTTACACAGAGGTTAATGTGTACAGCAGTTTCAGGAAAGTGGTGGGGACAAAATCCTGAATGGGAAAAGATTCAGAGTCAGTGAATATAGGATGTATTACTATAAAAGATAGCAGAGATATGATATGGATAGAAGAGAAAGAGAGGTGAAAAGATATTTAGTTTTTCTTTTTTTTTTTTTATGGAAGACAAAATAGCTGTGTTAAAGCTAAAATATGTCATAAAACCATATACTTTTGGACATAATTCAAGTAAGGCAAAAACAATCTAAAAGCAGCAGATGCTGGACACAGCCCAGCTTTAACACAAAAATAGAATGCTGAAGAGGAACAGATGGTCATTTAGATTATAACCTCAAGTCCCAGGTGATAACC